AGTAAAGCTACAGTGGGATACAAATAATATCAGGCTGATCCCACCTTAATTTGTTCCCCCACTTCAAATCACGGACTAACAGTATCCCACAGTTGTTTATGTTTCTGAACCCATTTTGCACAGAGAAGCACTTTTTGAAAAATGTATTGATAGCGCGAAGATTTTTCTTGTAAAACAAAGGGGGGCCCAGCATATAAGGTTTGGGAACCACTGCCCTAGAATATCATGAAAACCAACCAACTAACAAATTTTAGCATCAAATTTTAACCAATTTTAGTAAAGTTTGTTAAGATTTATTTCAGTCGTATTTTGACTGTAGACCAGTCTTTGACTTCAAATTGCAACTGTCACACCATTTCCAATTAACAGATTTCATACTCCTAGTTTTTACTTAGAAGGTGATTTTACTTTAAAACAACTACTGCTGAATTGTTACAAAACCTGAACTTGTAGGTGCATTCATTATTTAGTTCTAAAGCAGCTATTTGAATTCACACAGTTACTAGTCTAATCAGTTAAAAAATAAATAAATACATAAAACTAAAGCATGAGGTAAACAGTGATTGACAGTCACTGTGTTAACAGACTGTACCTTCGGAGTCCTCTGTCTGGATGGTATCCCATCGAGCACTGCAATGGCATCTTTATCCAGTTTCAGAATGGTGTAGCACTCAGCTATTTTGTACTTTACCTCAATCTCTGAAGGCAAACTCTGAAAGACAACATTCATTGTAGATGAACATTATTCTAGCCAGTCATTCTGTGCTCTGGATATACATATGGTGCTGCAGGACATCTAAAACCATCTTTACATTTAAAGCATTTTAAGCCTTAAATCACTGGAAGGATGAAAGGCTTAGATTTACATTGTGTGAAAGTAAAGTAAAAGAGATTTTAGTGTCGCAAAATTTTGTAAACATTATGTATAACAAAATTTTAAAAAAATTAAATAAAATCACAACTGCAGGTAAAGACACGACTCACATTACCAGAATTTTAGTGGCTGATGAGGATCTACATTACTCCTGTCAAACTTTATCTAATGTAGTTATTAAATGTTTCAGAAAGGCAACCTTTAATTACTATGAAAAAAGTCAAAGATTCGGGAGAAATGTTCAGCATCAGCAAACCTAATGTTCAATTCTGTGTCAAGTCAAGTCAAAGATTTCTATATCAAATTTAAAATAAAAATAATAATAAAAACCCAGGTGACCAAAGTGCTATTATAGATTTCAGTTTGTTTTTGATTACAGGAAATTGTCAAACACACCTGTGCCTGTATGTTAGAAGCAGCTCCACCAGTTGAAGTACGAACTTTTGATGTTTTGCTGAGCACCTTTTTCTGTTGCAGAGCCATGCTGTATTTGCAGGCAGCGTTGCGATACTCTTTGTCATGGAAGATGGCATCAGCATGGTAAACCAGCAGCTGGTACTTCTGAGCCGGCGAGAACAGCTCCCTTCCATTAAAAACACACCAACAATTAAGTGCTCAGACTGAGGAAAACCATTAAAACTGAATGACACACGAAGAAACATCAATGCAAAACTCATAAAAATTGTCCTACATAGCTACAGTTTTTAAGTCAGTCACGCTAAAGTGTCAAAAGTATGAATGGGTAAGACAACGACAAGTTTTCTAATACAATACTAGTTAAATTTCAAGCTATTTCATAGCAGCATTGTTAAGTGCATACGCTTGTAGATGCGACTATATCGTGAAGGAGTACACACACTGTAAACAATGTATATAATTTAAATTGCACTCGCATTTAAACACTATCCAATAATGAGTGGACAATGAAAAGCTTCGGTAGAAATAATAATGTTAGCTGTTGTTGACTAGTTAGCTTGGGACTATCGCTACCACTGGTGTGGAAAAGCAGTCTTCGGGAATTAGACGGTTCCCGCTCAGACACGACTTACGGATTGTTGTTGCTCATCGTCAGCAACAAACTACTCAAAATCCGGACATTAGAGTAAAGGCCTGCTGCAGCCATATCCCGCACATAATCTATTACATTCATTTTGGATTATTTGAAGGGCTCGCTGTAGGTTTCCGGCTTAGGTTAAAAGTTTGGGCTCTGGAAAGGCTAATGTTAGCTAGCATCTGACGCATAAGACGTCCAACGGCTGACCTTCCTTCCGCATAGTGCTGCGTTTAAATGCTCTTCAAAAGCTCGTATATTTTCAAAACTTTGAAATAAAAACCTGCCTGTGAAATCTTTTATGTTGAGTAAAATAACTATTTTATCGACTTCACTTTTATTTTAGGGACGTTAGATGAGAAGTTACATTTTACGAAATAATTTACAGACCAAGGCGTCTTTATTTAATTATTCTAAATTTATTGAATCTCACATGTCGCGATACCTTTGAATGCATCGTGTTTGTTTTTGCTGCAGCACTGTTTTTAAAATAGTTGGAAATTTTGTTTCAACTATTGACTTAAACAGTCATGTTTTATCAAATCACGCTATTGCAAAATTCTGTAATAAAAGTGTATGATATAATTATAATATATTAAAACAATTTACATTATCGCTAATCTAATATTAAAATATGAGTCAAAAACTCAGGCTTCAGACTACCCTATATGCTAATTTTGAGATAGTGGATGAAGTATAATGAAGGTAGCAATGAGCCCCACTATAATACAAATAAAGATTACTTTGAACTGTTAATGGAGCTGGAAACGAGTATAACAGGTCCTCTTTAATGCACAAGATCAGCTGATACTAGGTTTGTGGGCCCATATGGTGATACACATATTTAGTAAGGATTGTGAGCTTAATATATCATCAGATTTTTTTTTAGATGTGTACATATGGTAGCTTATTAACTTTCCAGTAGTGGATTTCAAAATATTATTATTATTATTTGAAATCCACACATATGGTTTTCATATGTGCCTGTTTTCAGTGATATCAAGTTTAATAGCAGGAAATCCATCTCTGCCATCTTTTTCTAGTAACCTATATTGACAACAGCATAATAAAACTGGAAATTCTGCTTTTGGTGTGCTACCCCAATATTTTAGTGGTCCCCATATGGCTACCCTTTTAAAAAATATTCTGAAGTGCCCCTGCTTAAGAGTTGTCCATAAAGATACCACTTGAATAAGCATTGTTACTTGGGTGAACTCAGGTAAACTGAGACACCTTTGGTGTTGTGTTGAGGTAATGTTTTACATTATAATTGTTCAGGCACTGCAGTTTTTTGTGCGATCACGTGTTGAATGTAAAAAGGGCAAGTGAAAGGACAACATGAAACAGAAATAACTGGATGAATTTTAAGATAATTTTAATTGAACATAACAATGTAACGTTGCATTTCAGTTGCATTAAACTGCCAAATGTTACTTGTTGAAAAATGCTCAAACCTAATTTTGCTGACTTAATCCAGGCAATGAGCCGTCACTACGTCTAAATGATGGTCATAAAAAAAAGTTTGCACATCGGTTCCCCCAACCAATATTTAGGTTGGACTGAGATTGCCAAAATCACAACCTAATAGACTTCAGTAAGGCTACAAACCACACAACAATAACAATAATAAACTGTACAATAAACAACAATCAATCAGTGTAAATCATCACAAAAAGGTGTCTGTGGCTATTTGAAAAGAGAAAACACTCACTAACAATCATAGTCTCCCTGAGAACTGACATCAGATGGGGAATCCAAATGGTGATTTGGTCGGGGGTGGGGTTGGCACACATTTATGAGCCAGTGGACACTCTTTCAATGATGAGGATGTACACATCCTGGACAGGGAGGAACACTTGAGCGGAGGTCAAGAAGGCAATTTACGTGAAAAGAGAAAGACCATCTCTGAACTGAGGAGGAGGCCTAAGGGTACTTTCACCATCTTACAATGCTGTGATTGCAGCCATTCCCCAACTCTCTGCGAATGGTACTTATGGCTATTGATCAATGGGCCTCAATCAATGGTCATGACAATTTGCATATTAATGATCAAGGAATTGACCTCACAGCCCATTATTCATTCAGTGGGCTGGTTTCAGTCATTGTGCAACTGTACTGTTTATAAGGTTCGGGAATCCTGCAGTTAGCTGAGACTGAAGAAGTGGATGAATGACGAAACGTTTCTCCCACTAAGTCCAGATGAACAGAATCGACCTTCTGCGGCATTTACCAGTCTCATTCGCACACGAATGAGTCTTATTGAATCAGCTCTACACATCTCTCCACGAACGGATTGAAGAATTTTGATTTTGCTGCAGTACAAGACTGATACAGTTTTCCAGTTTGTTGCTTGTTGATTTGTCTTGATCAAATGTTGCTTTGAAGCCACGCATAAACACAGTCGACCGCAGGCGCGCATGCGTACAGCTCAGGCTTGTGTCAAAACACAGAGGGAAATCAGCAGCAGGCACGGGCAGCACTAAGATCTTAGCTCGGTTTGTTCGGGTTTAGCTCTTCTCTTCGTAAAGTGTTTGTCTACACGGAGTGCTTTTTTTCAACTGCGCGTGCATACCATGACCGAACAATCAGCATTGCTTCTTCGAAAACAACTGGCAGGTAATAATAATGTAAAACTGTAAGCAAATAGAGCCGACATAAAGGCTCCATACCTTAGCAGCTAACGTTAGCTTTTTTTGTGGCTTGGCAAAGCTGTGTTTACGCAATAGAAGTAAGCTCAGAAAGGTAGCCGAACAGCATAATGGGTTCCTTTATCAGTCTAGCTGAGTGTGTGGCTAAGCAGCTTTGAATAGCTTACCTGTGTTGTGAATAAATACATAATTTTGAAGTATACTGAGCTCAAAAACACCTCAAACAACACATTGCAGGACCAGTCTAGCTAGCATTTGCTAGCAAGTTGGGCATTAGTTAGCTAACGGAACAAAGGAATAATCAACCAGACACTCATCTGCTCTAAACACTTTAGCATTGTTAATGGTAGCGCTGTGCACCGCAAGGATTTCATAGATCTATATACCAATACATCAGTAACCGCTTGATTGAAATTACAAATCCATAATATAGCCATTTAAGATACAATCTAACGTTTCTGATATCAAATATGGCCCAGAGTCTAACGCGGGAGACAATCTATATTAGTATTCAAGCCCTCAATGCTGAAACTCTTATTGTTCTCCTTTTGAAGTCTTTTCAGAGACATAGTTGATTTTATTGCTGTTGTGCCCTGTAAATGACACATGGATCTCACGAGGCTTTAAAACCCGTGGTATAAAGTTTGGTTTGCAGCTGCGTGACTGTCCAGTTCCTTCAGTTCTCATCTTTTAAAAGTAAACCAATACCTCAGTCAACACTTTGCTATATGAGGTGCAGCTTTTCATTTAATGACTTTAATGCTATAATTCAATTATAATTTTACCCGATACGGTAAAAGAACTTAATGCAGCATTCAAGATCAGGTGATGAAATCTGTCGTGGATCACTAAAATATAAAAAACAACATCGTGCAGTCTTAATCATGTAAATTATATTAATTCAGTGTTAATACACTGCAGTCAAACTGGTCCATTTAGCTAAAGTAACACATCTTGTGAGTTCAGTTCCAGCACATGACAAACACAAGTTGGTTTGTATATAGCATGCCCTATTAAAATGACAGCATCCAGTTACACAAGTGATTTGGGATTTTGCACCAGCTGACCATCACATACAAATATTAATTACTCTGTGTGTGGGGAATGAATCATTGACAGTGTTTGATGCAGTTTTTCTTTTCAAGTCAGTGATTCATATCAGCAGTCTTCATTATTTTTGGACATCACGATTAGATTCTGTAAACAGGTTGTTCAAATGAAAATTTCTGGATTTTCAGTTTCTGATCAACTGCGAAATAAAGGTTCATCTATTGTCTTCCCATAGTTCCCATGTTTGTATTCATTTTATTTGTTTAGCCATATTAGGGCCATATTATCACCTCTCAACGACATAACACAGAGCTAAGAGTTATTAAAAAAAAACCAAAACAGGTCAGTGGTCAAGTAATTATTCCTGTTATATTTATTCGAAGACTTCATCAAGTCCTTTCTGTGGGCTGTATGTGTTGTTGGTGCATTGTATTGTAGATTTTCTGTGGACGTCCACGCTGTTACAAAAATTTGGCAGGACTCTAGCATGCTTACAGACACAAAGTATAATTAAGGCTTTAAAATGAATCGGTGTGGAAAGTAATTTTTCTGTTTCTTCAGTCCTTAGCAACAGACTGCTCCCATGGAACCAGAGTGTAAGATTGATCTATTTCCTATAAGACCAAGGTTAAAAGAGTGCTTCAAGCACATGCCATATTGAAAAACTGAGATATTCGTCGTGATGCCTTGTGTGGGTCGGTCTCTCAGTGGCTCGGGAAAATTCAGTTAGCTCAGTTGAGTGTATATAGTACTTGTTGCTGATTCATTTTTAGTCACCTGCTCTTTGTGAATTCACAGATGTCAGATACCTCCCACAGTGAAGTGTGTCAGCATCAGTAAGCAAAACATGGGTAAAGAGCTTGCGGTTTACATGATATTCACCAAATCAGTGTCTGGGACTCCAACACAGATTTATTTTCCTCTGAAATTATGTGCCATGAGTTTGTCATAATAGTTTGTTTCTGCTGGGTTTTATTTACTCAAGTTTGTTGACCTAAGTGAAAAACCAGAGCTTGGTTACCTTGTCAGCTGCATCATGTCAGCTTATGTTCTCTATTAAGCTGCTACTGCTTTTTCCCCCCCCAGTCTCTTTTACTTGTGTACTGTTGATGTCAGCTTAACTGAATGTTATGATACCAAAATTCTGAATATCCAGAGATACTTTTATAACTCGTAGTAAGAGTAGGGGTCTGTCAACAAAATATGTTAACACCGTGGATGTTGACTTCTATTTCTAGTGATAGGCCTTTCTGTACTACAGTTCTGTTTTCGCTTTGCTACTGAATAAAATACACGTTGTGCCTCTGTTTTTCCCAGAGCTCAATAAGAACCCCGTGGAGGGCTTTTCAGCTGGTCTGATAGATGATGATGACATATATAAATGGGAAGTTGTGATCATTGGTCCACAAGATACCCTTTTGTAAGTAAGGTCTTTGGTTGAGATATTCAGAAACAGAAATGATTATTTAATTCAGTCATTTGACAAATGTTTGTCCTTTTTTTTCTGTATTTGTCACTGCAGTGAAGGAGGGTTTTTCAAAGCATACCTAACCTTTCCCTATGATTATCCACTACGGCCGCCGAAGATGAGGTTCATAACTGAAATCTGGCACCCAAATGGTAAACCCACTTCTTACCCTTTGATCGTTTTACTCACACAGTCTTCTTTGCCATCACTTGATCTCTGCATATAAATAGATTCATAAACTCTCTTTTACTGAACAGATCCGTGCGACTGACTTGAAAGTGTAATCAAAAAATGTGTGAAATTCGTCTCCACAGTTGCAAAGAACGGCGATGTTTGCATCTCAATTCTGCATGAGCCAGGAGAAGATAAGTTTGGTTATGAAAAGCCCGAAGAACGCTGGCTTCCGATCCACACAGTAGAGACAATCATGATTAGTGTTATCTCCATGCTCGCAGACCCCAACAGCGACTCACCAGCTAATGTGGATGCTGCGGTGAGTTATTTATGTCCTTCTTCAAATGCTGGAAGTCCCACCTTTGTATTTGAGCAGCTTAGGTAATTCGAAAAAGTGTGAGTAAAAGAATTTGGTTCTCCTTTTCTACAGAAAGAGTGGAGGGAGGACCCTAATGGAGAATTTAAGAGGAAGGTGGCTCGCTGTGTAAGAAAAAGTCAAGAGATGGCATACGATTAGGAGTCAGCTGTAAATTCCAGGGTAAGCAAAATGACCTGCTGAGTAAGATTTGCATGGAATACCTTGCTTCTGTAAGTAATAACTTCATTCTTTATTGCAGTTAAAGGAAATGCCTTCAGAGGGAAAGATTCAGCAAAAGGCTTTTGCACCCCTTGTTTTGCCAGTCAAAGGAGTTGGTTGGCTTCAACCACGTTTTTGTGAACGGTTGTCATTTTCCGCCAGACGAACCAATTTGAGAAACCTACCAGCAAAATTATCCTGTTTCTTACCTGGAATTGTATATTTAATTTAATTTATTTTGAGAAAAAATAATGATGTAAAATATGTCACTACTGTAAATTAACTTCCTTTTTTTATCTGCTGCTGAACAGTTTCTACTTTATACCAGGTTTCTTATGCAATTTAGTGGTCAAGATTGTGTAAAACAAAATGAAAGCCTGTTGTCATTAGGTCATCACTTGTCCTCCCTGCTTCATACTGAGATAGATTAACGACAGCCCAACATCAGCTCTGTCCGTAGATGCGATTATTTTGTCATTGAATCACCGTTGCCTTTCGTCGGCTTCACAGTTCGCCCCGTCTCGTTTAGAGGGACAGGTTGAGAACTTTTTATGGTATTCACATTTTCTGAGAAAAAGCCTTCTGTTAGCATTTTCTTCAAGTGTCAGTACATGTAAGAGTTTCAAAACCATGACTCTCAACCTGCATGATCCCCTCAAACAGCTTTGTTATGTATCGTTTTAAGCTATGGATGCAAATGGAACGGCTTACGCAGCACCTTGAGAGTTATTGTTTTATTATTGTTAGACTCACACAAGCATAGCTAATGGTAACAGGAGGTTGGTGCCAACTTCTCAGGATCAAACTTTAGTGGGATCTCGATTAGCAATCAGTAAGATAAACATAATGCTCCGCCGTCAACAAAGAAGTCTGATAATGATCACTTAGTTGAAGTTATTGAAAATCACGGACAAGCAAATCCAGACTGTGAAAATAGCCTAAGCTGTGATTATTCTGCATGTGGACTGATTAACTGGCATCTGCGCTTACCTCAATTTAAACGGATAGCATATTTGACCAGGTTTATGGTTGAGTTCTTAATCTGTTGGGGAATACGGGGGATTTTAACGGCTCCTTAGTAGAGTTAGGCTAGTTATTCTTACCTTGTTTTGTCGTGGCACATTTGGCTACCAATTAGTGCTTCATATTCACTCGCGGGCTTAGACTCTTCAGGACTTTGGCTAGTTTGTGGGATAGTGCTCTTCTGTGAACATCTTGAGTTCTGATCGGTACATACTTCACTAGAATTTATCACCTTCACTCGATTACTAAATCTGGGTTGTGATCCTTCACAGAGACTTAACTCGCCGCTTAGTAAAGTGTAAGCAAGTGGGGGCTGAAGGCGATCCCCCATTTAGGCTTTATTTTTTAAAAAAATCACTAAAAGGTTGTGTTTGGGTGGAGTCTGGAAACCACTGGCTTTTGTTCACCTCATTGATGATGTTGTTGCTGAATATTAAGCCATGATGACGTGAACTCTGTATAACGTATTGATCTGTGACTGACACTGAAACATAGCTATAACCATCTTTTGGCGCATGCAATCAGGTTTGAGGGAGTTGGGGTGAGTTTCAGTAGGATACCATTGGTAGTGCATTCTGGGTGAATGTGATGTGTACAGTTGGTAGATTTCTGTAGACTTGATTATCACATAACTGCTGTTGACATTACCTTTTAAAGTCAGAATTTTCTAACCTACCATGACCTCCTCTGACCGGTGTTCACTGTATTTGCACAGATTCGGTGCGTTTGAAATGTCATTAAGCAATACGCTCTGAAAATGGTGTGTCCAGGTAATCCACCCTAACGCCATTCTTTTTGTTTTTGTTTCTTTTTTTGTTTGTTTTTCATTTTTTTGTTGTTTTTTTTTTTTTCCCATTTTGTGTCAATGCAATGTATATTGGACATGATGCTCAATAAAGTGTGTAAACAGAGTGCTTTGTAATGTTGTGTTTTACATTTTTCATGGGACACACTCTGGGTTCAAGTATATTAGACCTCTGCACTGTAATTGGAACCCAGTGGGAACTCTCGCGTTTCAGGGCTGGCTTCGTTTCACAATAATAGGCTCTGGTGGCTGCAACATGTGCCGAGCGGACAAAGATGCCAGCAACCTCTCTGATATAGGACAGGAAATACTGCTGTGTGTATAACTGAGGATGAGGAAGCGGGTTACATTTGCTGAGAACCTGAAAAAAGAAAACTTGTTCAGAAATGGAAGTGGTCACATCTTAATGAGGTAACGCTTACATGGAGGTCCTGACATCCTCGGTGAATTAACATAACTGATGGATTTATGAATTTTCACAGTGAGACTTGTAATTTGTTGTTTTTAGATCTGCAGGGCCTAAGAGGAGATGCACGGGTGGTGAGTTAGATTTTTCTTATTTACCAGCTGGACATGAACCTTTTGTTAGCGATTTTTAAAAATTATTATTTTATTAAATGTTTAATAGAGAGTGCATAAATCAGAGGTTTGTATGTAGTTGATGACTAAACCTCAGTTGAAAAATAATGAGCTGCCAACGTAGCTTCTAACATCCAGACGCCATAAACATCTGGATGTAATTTAATGCTGTTGAACTATTTGTGGTAATTTTGTTCTTTTAATGTCATTTTTCTCACTTTTGTTTTCATCCGTTCATTTCTTCCATTTGACATTTCATCTTTTAGCTTGGCTAAAATGTTTTACACTTTATCCACAAATTTAGCCTAACCAACATTTGTTAATTAACTTTAAACCTTTAATTTTTGCTATTTGTCCTGTTCAAGAATAGTTTTTACAATTTATCCTTAACTTACTAGTGTTAGACTAGTTTGTTCATTTCTTTTAACAGCGCTTATCTCTTTGCTTTCTAACTTTTGGTTTTTGTGCCTTTTTAATAAAGTAACACTTTAGTTAAACCTCTTAAATCAGCCATTAAATTTAAATTAAACAGGAATATTTACAAAAACCGTGTCATTGTCCAAATACATGTATACATCAGTCAGACACAGTATTAAACCCACTAAAAGAAATAACATTTCGATGGCACATGTCATGGCATACAGTCATGAAGAGCTTTCACAGGACATGTAATGGGGGTGTACTGTGAAAACCCACGATTCAATAGCTTGTAGAATCACCTTTAGGAGCAGTAACCCGAAGTCACGATTTCTGTAGGATTTAAGTGTCCCATATCATTGTGGAGGAATTTTACAGCTTCTCTGCACTCTTTACGGCTTTGCTTTAGTTCATTGAGATTTGTGGGGATCTCACCATATCATCTCAGTCAGTTTAAGGTCTGGACTTTGACTATTTTGTCACATGCTTGGGATCACAATCCTGTTTCAGGACTCCAGCCAATCTTAAGCTGTCTGACAGATGGCTTCATATTGAACTTTATAATACCATTGTGTACAGAGGACTTCAGACAGATTTCCTGTCATAAACACAGCATTTTTTCCTGACATGTTGCTTTTTGGTAGGCTTTGAATGTCTACCTGGTCAGCAGGTGAGAGAAATCTACAGAGAACAACACACAAATATACCTGCAGGCAGCCAACACTTGAAAACGATACATCCTCCAAAATCTATGATGTCTGCCCCTTTCTTACAGGTAACCTCACAAAGCTGGAACAGGTAGCTTCTGGTATTTTCGGGGGGCTTTTTTGAACAACAAAGGCTAAAAAAACCCCCCAAGGGAAAAAATATGGTGTTTTTTCTTTTTGCAATCCTTTACTACATGTCGTTCACTATGCTCACTCTCCCTCCACCTCTTTCCTATCTATCTATGAGTGTTGCACTCTTGAAAAAAGGTTAAAACTGCCCCTAAAATGATATTTATTACTATATGTTAGATTTGAGTTTTTCTAAAGCAACAAACTTAAGAAACTAAACTGATAAATTTAAATCCACCGAGAACTTGACTCATTTGACAGTAGTGACAGATTTCTATTAGCTGTTTGATAGTTTCTTCAATTGAAAGGCCAGCTAGTTTCTTTAGCAGAGCAGGCACAGGTGAAGATATGACCTGAGCTGACAACAAGTAATATTTGCTGGAAAGCTTTTGTTGCAATACAGTATCATCTTAATATGTTTTACATTGTGTTCCTTTTTACAGAAAAGCACTGGGGTTAGGGTTAGAGCACACACACCTAAAACACACACTGCTGCAGTGGGGTCAGCCACTCTCCCTCCCTCCATGTAACAGGAGAACTAGTGAGTGAGTGGGGTCTGGTTTGCTTTTAGCTGCAGAGGGAGCATGGTGGCAGAATGCAGGCATGCGATGGAGGGCTAAAACCCACATACAAAGTGAAGTAAAAGTTACCAGTTTTCAAGGCACAAAGAGTGTTTTCTAAATATGTAATTCCTGGTGAATAGAATTGAATCATTCTGTGCGGGTTTAATTCATGCCAGGAGAGGAACTTGATTTTCTCATTTAAAACATATTTAAGGCATCTCTTATATATAACGACCTACTGTCCTTCTGCCATGTGTAATCACATCTGTTCTTATCTCAGGAGCCAGCTTTTACAGGAGGGCGCACACCCTACCTCTACAGTATAGCAAGCATCTACAGTACAGAGCACATGAGACGGCAAATGAAGCAGCACTATCTCAATGTCCTGCACGCATGCATTCAGTCAGGTCTGTATCTGAATTCATTCTGAATGCAGTAAAAGTTTGTCTCACACATAAACTGACCAGCACAGTCCAACGCATCCTGTGTTTTGGATCGCCCAGGTCATGATGAGACCCGCAGGAGAATGTATGGAGATCATCATTGCAAAGAAAAGAGCATGTTTAAAACTGATCCAGAGAAGAGCAATGCAGCAGCAAATAAGCAACAAAGGCAAAGGAGAAGCAGCGACAGAGCTTATTCTGATGTCACACTTCCAAAAATAGTCAACAGATGATATATATGTATTTATTATGATTTATAAATAGGTTGTCGTAGGAAAAGTCTTACATTCATACACATGCTAATATCCAAAATACATCAATAAATGTAGCATATCTGTTTATTAAGGCAGCTGAGACTTGTGTTGTTTGCATGTTCTCTTTGGGGACTTCATCTTCCTCCCACAGTC